TCCAACACTGACTCCTAATGCCCTCGATAGATATAGTATATATATATAATTATATATGAAACATTTTTTCCCAGGTACTTAATAATAATTAATTTAGTATTTAAGACGATCGTGAATATAAATGCCACCCTTAACTCATTCTATTATCGGTTTTTAAAAAGGCAGTTTGAAAAGCGGAGTAGTCATTCGCAAATGTTTAAACGTTTAAATCGAAGCGCGCGTACGCCACCATGGTGAGATAACCATCACCGGAGTTCCGGTCCGCCGCGCGCTAGTCGCCAGAGGATTTCGCGGGCGGCCGAGTTTATGGGTAATATTTCCCAAGATTCTTTGTGGCGTGCTTGGCGTACGGGGAACCGGCGAAAATTCAATTCACCGCGTGCGAACGAGCGTGCGGATTGCGTCGCACTATGTTCAATTAGTTATGTCATGTCATGTTATGTTGGCGTGGAGTCGTGATGACGCCTCGTCCCTCGTCGCAACGAGTCCTCGTCATGCCGCGCCGCCTTGCGATGTATTGGCCTGTCTCTGCTTACGAGACTGACGAGACAACCGTGCGCGAGGATGGCGAAGCACGTCGAAGCAGGACGCGATTCTGCTTATCCGTCCACGACGCGTTTAGGGAGCGACGCTTGCCGACGCCGTACGTCTCGACATCCCCTCGGGCCGTTGTTCGCGGCGCCGGCGACGACGGATTGTTAACCGTCGCTGAGCCGGTCGGTCGTTGTTATCATCGCTTATCGCGAGAAATGGAAGGGCCGTTCGTTTGATTGCGATTTCCGCGGTAAAGGTACCACGCGATCTCGCTGCCCGGCATACAAAGCATCTCGAAGGGAGAAACGAAAATCGTGGACGGAATGTCTTCTTGTTCAGCATCATTAGCATCTGTTAGTGAAAAATATTCTCTGTTTGCAGCTGGGTCATAATTGTAGGGGATTATGTCGGAGCAAAGTGCGGATTCTCCGAACTGCACCGCGAATCAGGAAGAGGAAGAGGAAGAAGAGATGATCTTGCAAGAATCTGAGGTACACGGAAATTGATAACAATTATAACGTCATGTAGAACATTTTTGTACGAATCGTTTCATATCATCTTCTATTATTAAAATAATAATTTAATGAATATTCGATTTTGTACAATAAAATTGTTTGCTTGTCCAACAATTAATTTTATTGATTTTTTTGTTTTTGTTTCCATATCTGCATTTAACATGGTGTATGATTTACTTTTAGGCTAATCCTGTAGATATTCTAGAATGTTTGTCAGTTATGATCAACGATAGCACTGGAAAGGACACTAGCCAGGTGCAGGAGCTTATATTGGACGACCAGTTGCTTGGTACAATGGTGACTACAATTACATTGCCTGATGGAACTCAAGCTTTTGTTACGAATAATCTTGGTGACATTGGTTAGTAGCCATTTGAATTCGACTGTTTTTACTATTATTATATTTGAATTACAGATAATACAAAAGAATTATTTCTTTCAAAATTTGCATTTGAAAATATAGCTATTTGGACGTTTTATTTGTTTCATAGTATATCTATAATGAATTTGTACATTTACAGATCCAGATTTCAAGACACAAACACTGCAAACACTTGAAAATGGAGATACTATTTTGCTAAGAGATTTGTCGGAATTTGGCGATGGAAAAGCTCTCCAACTGGAATTAGACCCAGCTACATTTGTACAAGCTGAAGACACTGCCACTGAAAATGTAGAAAATACATATTCACAAGTAGAATTTATCAATGGCACTGCGTATATGGTGGCTGGCCATGTGGATGTAGATGAAAATTTATGGGAAATTGAAGACGGAAAGTTAAAGAAAAAAGATCCCAAGATTTTAATCAACAAAATATCCGATGTAAAAGTTAGGTATCCTTGTCCTAGGGAAGGATGTTCAAAGGTTTACAGCACACCCCATCATCTTAAGGTAATCAATTCTTCGAGATCAGTACGAATACTTGTAAATAATAATGAATTGAAAGATTTCATTTAGGGCGGTATTTATAGTCCGTTCTTATTTCAAGATTATCTTAAGTAATGTCTTAAAACGATTCTCTGATTGGTTCGTAACTTCTTAAAACTTAAAACGGTTTTAAATATAAGATCTGACTATAAATATCAGCCTTAAATATTTTTAATCTTTTTTGTAGGTCCACGAACGTTCGCATACTGGTCAGAGACCATACAGATGTACTCATCCAAAGTGCAAAAAGAGCTTTTCAACCGGCTACAGTCTGAAAGCGCATTTACGGACGCATACGGGCGAGAAACCGTACAAATGCACGAATGGAACGTGTAACAAAAGCTTCAAAACGTCGGGTGATTTGTTAAAACACGTGAGAACTCACACGGGAGAACGTCCCTTCGTATGTCCATTTAATGGTTGTGGCCGATCGTTTACTACAAGTAATATTAGGAAGGTATGGATGCTCAATGTACGATGCTTGTTAAAATATTTTATTGCCGAAATTCAATAAAGGTTTTATGCTTATCAGGTTCATGTAAGGACGCACACTGGCGAGCGACCGTATAAATGTACGCAACCGACATGTGGTAAAGCGTTTGCTAGTGCGACAAACTACAAGAATCACATACGCATACATTCAGGTGAAAAGCCCTACGTTTGTTCCATAGAAAACTGTGGTAGAAGGTTTACCGAATATTCTAGTCTATATAAACATCATCTTGTAAGCATTTTATATCAATTATTAATCAGTTATTAATAAGAGTACAATATTCTAGAATACAATACTCCAAAAACGTTGCATATTATCTCTAGATATTTTTGTCTTTGTAGGTACATACACCACAACGACCATTTGAATGCACACTATGCTCCAGGAAATATCGTCAGAGTAGCACATTGGTGATGCACAAGAGAACAGTTCATGCCTTGGTCGACAGTGACGATGGTGCCGATACATTTTTGCAAGACTCTCTTGAATCCTCTAGTCAAAATAAAAACAAAAAGAAGACCGTAAAAGAAAACGTAAGTGTAATGTAATCTAATTAATTATTAATTATATATGTTTGTGCAGTCCGATATGATTATGCAACTAATAAATTTTAAATTTATATAGCATAAGCTGCTAGCAAAAGACAAACAGATCCAGATTTCTAAAATAATCAATGACGCGAACGAGAAAGAACCACAAATTTTGTTGGTAGGCGATCCTTCGCAAATCGCTGCATTACAGGTTTGTATAAAAACTTGATATATTTTTACGATAGATTTATTCTAGATAATTATTAGCGAAAAAAATATTTTTTTAAATTTATTTACTAAAAATTTCAATTATAGAAGATTGATTTGGACGAAAGTTTTGATGATCCTGGCATTGATACGACATTCGAAGGATTAAATATAAAAATCGAAGATATAGAATTTGGATGGAACTAATGCACGGAGAAAGGAATGCGATTTGCATGTGAGAAAAGTCTTAAGCATTAAATATTAATCTTGTTAACATTCATTCATAGATGTGCTAATATCAGAGCGAAATCAAATAAGTAAATGGAAATTAAAAATAGTGTCAAACGATGTTTGACCACATAATGATGCGGTAACACGATACGAGCTGAGATTTAAGTTTCTTATCAGTTTCATAAATTCATCAGATATATATAGTATTAGAAATATACAGTAACACACATCAATGATTTTTTATAATAATGAATAATGATTGATATACGATTTATATGATCATTGACGTAAAGTGATAATTAATTTAACGTGATGGATTAAATATCTAATGCAAATATGTATGCTAAGATATACTGAAAAGGATTTTAAGAAAATGTGTAGTATTTCTCGCGCCGAATCTAGTGATCTCCGATCAAATGAGTGGAGTCATACTGTAAACGTAAACGTGTAAGGTAAGATTTATTTCAAAAATATATACAGGAGAGATCAATATTTACACAATATGTGATTACGTTCTTGAACTAAAGGCAGTGCCTTACCTGAAAGTGTGAGTGTAAAAGAAAATATATGTACTATATCATATTTTGTCCATCTATAGTTATCGAGTGTGTATGTAATATTTTTATGTAACAATTTACATCGTTTTCTTCTCGTTTCCAAAATTATAGACCGAATTATTTGTTTTTTATTAATTTGAGACAAAGAGATATATTTTGACTCAACTTTATTATAGAGATGTTTATATTCAATTTTATTAAAAGAGCAACTATCGAAAAGTTATAATTTCATTAGCAATTTATGAATTACGTTATCATGTAGTTTTATTTTATTTTCAGATTGTGTGACTTTAAAGCATTTTAATTTTATGTACAAATAATAATTATCATGTTATTTTTACCCTGTAAGTAAAATGTATTAACAATACGCCAATAAATTTAAATAGGACATTGAAGATAACTGGCATCAACTGTATCATAATAAGTCCATGTTCTGCCAGATCTGTTGAAAATAAATTTTACAAATTAATTGCTATAAATTTTGTTAAAAATATAGCAATATAATGGAATTGATTACAAAATCTGCTATTTTATATAATTGTATATTTAAATAATATATTTCATTTCAATATAAAATACTATATTCTGCTTAGTTTCTGCCAATAATTTGCTATCAAATTGTATCAGCAAGTTTTGGTTGGTACAACACAAGCTTATTGTGACATAATTGATGTCAATCTGTCTCAATATCCTATTCGAATTTGTCGGCATATTGTTAATATGTTACTTACTGAATAATTTTAATATTGCGCTGCTGAATTATTTTCAAAAATTAAGGGAATATGTTATGTATTTAGAATTTGCAATGTAGAAAATGCAAATCAATTTGAGATATTTATATTATTTTTTTCTTTAAAGAAGACAATACGAATTGCAGCATAATTAATAATGTGTGTGAAAAAAAAAATATATATATATATATATAAAACAAGTTCTGACGAACGAAAAATTTCATTGTGTTTAATACTACATTATTGTCAGAATTAATATAAGAATACAGACTATATATTATGTAATGACATACTTAACAATAGATGGATAATAACATTTATCGTGTATAAGCGTTTCAAGAAAGTCGAAAAAAAATGTATTATGTTTTGTATCTTCATTTTTTTTGAGAATTAAATTGTTTTTTCATAAATACCATGAAATATATTTGTGTAAATAAATATGTTTAAGTTAATTTGGTGAAAATAAAAAATGCAACATTTGATCTAAAGATTAAGAAAAATATAATTAAGACTTAGGAAATTAAATTCCTAAGCCTTAATTAAATTAAAATTTTAATCTAAATTAAAATTTCGGAAATTAATAAAATATATTATTTCATCTTTCGAATAAATTCAATACTTTTCTTCGATCGAATTCTCATGGCTAAAAAAGGAACTATTATTAGCGTTCGGTCGCTGATTAAACAGACGCATTAACACTAAGTACGAGACGTGAAATGTAGCAAATAATACAGTTATATACACGTGATCGAAACGGCTGGCCTTGTATTAAAAACGAATTGAAGCGATGATTTTTTTAATTTTGAGCTTCTTTTATATTCTCCTATCTTTAAAGTAGACGATATAATCATTAATCACCAAATGCATTTGCAATTGATTTTTTTTAGTTACATTGAAAATATTTTTCCCTGTATGTTCTCTTATATTTTTACAACATCTAATATATTGTTTAAGAAGATTATTTTGATGAGCAATATAGAACTTTCGATTCTCCCACCATTCAAACGATCTTTTGTATAGTGCTGCTCTCGATTACGGATAGTCTCCATTCGGCCAAGTACTCGATCGCGCTCATCCATCAAACTGGCAGATAACTAAACTTTTTATATCAACGGAATCTTCCACTTTTGTCAATAGAATTTTAATCTTGTCGTCCGAAAATAGAATTCAAAGAGTTCCGCGACTGTAATTATGAACATTATTACAAAATGTGGATCGTCGGTTTAACGCAGATATGTGCGACGAGCAGTATACAACGGATGAGACAGGTGGGTATTAAGCGATTAAATAAGACGATAAAGGTAAAGACTATAATAATAATATCTTAGGATTAACACATTGTTAACGTTCAATATATGTGTGTAAAGCATCTTTTATTTATACATTGAATTGTGGAAAATTTATATTTGATATATCCACATATATACTCTCAGATATCGATTATATGATATTTTATTCTTGTGAAACTTAATACCGCTATTGATGAATTAGAATAAAAAATATTATCTTATTTAGAGATTAAAATTATAACGTATATATATGTATATATAT